AGCGCTACCAAAATATTTCGTTAGCAACCACTTACTTTTTAAATGCTATCAAAAATTGTTTCGATAGTAACTACTTATTATTCAAACGCTACCAAAAATATTTAGTTATCAAGCGCTTAATTTCGAAGTGTTACCAAAAACTATTTCGTTTGCAAACAATTACTTCCCAAATGCCGCCTAAAATATTTTCCTAGCAACAACTTATTTTCCAAACGCTATCAAATATAGCTAAATTGCAACCGCTTACTTTGCAAAAGTTCCCAAAAATATTTCTTTAGCAACCACTTACTTTCCAAACGCTACTAAAAATATTTCGTTTAGCAACCACTTGCTTCCCAAACATTACCAACAAATATTTCGTTAGCTACCAAACGCTACCAAAAACGCAACCATTTTCCAAAACGCTACCAAAAATATTTAACGTTCGCTAATAGTTACTTCCCAACCCCTATAGAAGTCTTCGCTATTGCTTACTACATATGTGCACTCTGTATATACAAGTTCAAATCGTTCACATTTTCCTTAGAGGTGGCAAAAGAAAGTATATGAATACAATCTTTTTCAAATTTATCCAGATACATAAACCACTACCGAGTGTACTAAATGTTGTTAACCAAGTTTTCCAATCCTTCCATTGCCCAAACTTCGGCAGGTGTAATCCGGAAAGATGAAAAAGAATCTCCCGAAAAAAAATGACGAGACAAAAAAGAGGTAGTCATTAATATATCAAATTGGTGAGTATATTTCAGCCGTAATTGTACAGACAACGAAACAATTCCAAAATATACAGTCAGAGAAATCCCCAACACAATTAGAAAAGAAAATCACAGTTGTGAACTACATAGTAGTCTGACATGCATTTCGCCGACAAACCGATTTATATTATCTCTTTGAACTGACCCGTGCCAATTATCTCTACCTTCGTAATATTTGCCTTTCTCTCTTCAGATAGGGTTTGTCATACTAAATTGTCCTCTTTTCATTTGTCTATAGCCTTCTTTTGTTTTTAGAGTTTGACTTTAAGGTGACAGCTTTTTGTTAGTTTACACAGCAGACGACAATTAACTATAAAATATATACAAAATACTGGCGTGGAATTTCATTATTTATTATTTATGGAGTTACTATCTATTTTGTTTTTCATTCAAAATTATTTCTTGTGATTATAAATAATCGTGCTTTTCAAAAACTCTATATTGAAGCCGCCATTTATTAAGTCTTCTTTCGTCATTTTTAACTACCCCTTGTCAATACTTACTTTTTATTACTTTAAATTTTCTTTCTTTCATCACTAAAGTAAACAAGCTGTTCTTCTTCTATGTGACGAGTCACTTCAGGACGTTGGAGATCATGGCTCTCCATAATTTCAGGTCCTTTGTAGCTCTTAATCAATTTTTTACTTTTGTAATCTCTTCTAAACACTTTTCTGTCATCCGTTTAATCAAGCTCGCTAAGTAGGTTATGACTTGTTTTCCGCTGTTTCTTTAGTCTTCAATATGTCCTATGCTAAGTATGTCTGTTTTGTTTTAAATTTTACTAAAACATTGTCGTTGTTCACATGTTCGGTCCATGGTATTCTCAGCATCCTTCTGTAGAATTACATTTCTCTTCTTCATCCGTGAGGAGATTGTCTAGCATTCACTGTCATGTAGGAGGGCTGATATTACGTAAGAGTTCAGTTTTATTTAACACTATCTCTCTTTTCAGTTTTTATTTGTTAATTTCCACCGGAGTAAGCCCAGCGTGAAGTAAATCGTATCGCAGTAAATAGATGAATTATGGATGTATGCCGTTTTTTGTGCAAACGAACAATAAGTCTTCCTTTAAAGAAACAAAAAAAGTTAAATGAAAGGACGAAATATATGTTTTGGAGAGGGAAAGACAAATATTACAGAAGTTCAGATAATTAACATGGATCAGTTGAAAGAGGCGACACTAATCGACTTGTCGGTCAGATGCATATATCAGATAGTATGCGTATATAAGATAGTATGCATTTCAACATTGTGTGATTTCCATTCATAAAACAGGCGCTGGGAAACTTCCTCATATATAATTTGGACTTAACCTGGATACACAAGCGAAAGTAAGGTTACGTTTGTAATATACTGACCCACTTAGTACATTAATAAGCATTTTTTTCAGTCGTCATTTCTGAGGTTGATTATCAAGAAACATGCGGGTAGGTAACAAATGCAGTTATCTGTCTGCATCGGTCAGTTATAGAGAAACACCCTCACGCGCGTGTGCATACATACACGCAAATAATAAAAATGCAGTTGCCTATAAAAACGCCCACAGATTTGAATCACACAAATTTTCTCCGTGTTCCATTTGTAAAGAGGAAATTCCGCTAAGCTTTTTCCCCACGAGAATTGTTACTTTATTGAACAAAATCTCTCGTGGATGCTTCCCTGAACACTATCCATGCTCTTTAACCTCATAATGTTGACTTCGTTCTAACTCCTTTTATGTTCATATCACACACGTCATTAACTCTCTACCATGAGCGGCTCTTGTGCCTTGTATTTGGTGAACTTTTGTAAAAAAAAAAAAAATAAATAAATCCGAGAATAAATTCCTAGAGTATAAATTCATATAAGTTACTTGATGAGAATTTCAGTTTAGCAATCGTTTAATTTTTGTAAAAGGAATAAAAAAAGTTTACGATAATAAAATAGGAGTGTTTCGTTTATTAACCTGATCGAAACTGCTGTGTTGAAAACACATGCGCATATATGAGCGCATAGAGGGACACTTCGATGCGGTGTAATGATTAGCAAGCTTCCCTCTGCAAGATCAATTACGACTAAATAGCGAGTTCGGTCCTCACAAAGTACCCAATACTTTCGACCTTGTACCACAGCTAGGCTTAGAAAATCACCATATATTATAAGGACACAGATGAACGGATCAATTTGTGGTTTCTTTTTGCTATTATTACAGAATGGGGTGGGGGAATAATAGTTATGGGGGATTGGTTTCCCATTTGTATATTCATTCAACTCTTTCCACCGTTGACCATACTAGCACAGTGACGAAACATTATCATCAAGATATCACAGCGATCACATTTTCATCAAGATATCACAGCAAGAATGTAAATTAATGCTTGTCCCAAGAGAAATAAGTAAATTTGAGCAAATTCGAACTTGCTTTGTCGATTCAGATTTCCGTACTGTTTCCGCTGAATTTAAACAGTACACTCGATCCGAACGTAGTACGGACTTTTGCCATTACTATTTTTGAGCGGTACATTTCCCGAAACAGTGTAGTATGCTCAGAGGGGTGGTTTTACCGGCCTGAATGTCCGAGAAATTTTCATAGAAAATATTCGTCCTTTGACAGGATTCTCGGACATTCAGGCCGGTAAATGTTATTTAATACTGTTTATTATAAACAGAGCATTTACTTAATTACTTGTATCTATAAAAAGAACGTTAAACATAAAATGTCTTTAATATATATATATATATATATATATATATATATATATATATATATATGAACAATATTATATATATATATATATATATATATATATATGTGTGTATGTATGTATGTATATTTATCCCAAGCAAGACGATAACGCCACTAAGACTCAAGTGGGGGGGGGTACTGGAAGTGAACGAGAAGGAAAAAAAAATTAGGAGGAGCCAGAAACTCAATAATAGTATAACTTTTAGAGTTTAGGCGTAGACATTAGAAGAGTAGATTTGAAGTAAAATTTAGAAGGAACCGGAAACCCAATCCTAAACAGGAAACAAGGGATGAACCTCTACTCCTGTTAAAAAAAACAAAAAACGGGCAGGTATACAAATTGGACGATAGGTAAACATATCTATTCCAATTGAACCTATCTGCTCGTATTGATATGAGTTTGTGTGTATGCGTACGTGCGTGTTTGCATGTGTTTAAAAAAAGAAAGAAAAGAAAAGAAAGAAAGAAAGAAAGAAAAGAAAAGAAAGATAGAAAAAGAAGCGAAGATAATAAAGCAGACCAGTAGGCAGACTGATAGTCCTTCTCACTAAGTCCATGACACAAAAGTGAAAGCTGAAGAAAATCGCCTTCTAAAAATTTGAAAGCAAAATTATGAATGAATTTGAAGAAGAAGAAGAAGAAGAAGAAGAAGAAGAAGAAGAAGAAGAAGAAGAAATTGATTAAGAAGAAAGGAAAGTGAACGTAAGAATGTTAAAAAGGACAGAACGAATAAAAAATTGGAAAGAAAAAAAAGTGCTAGTGAATGAATGGTAGAAATAACTACTTGTTTATTTCAATGATGATAGAAAGAAAAGAAAAAAAAAAGAATGGAAATAAGAGTGAAAAATATTGACTGGGTGATGAGACAAAGGTTCATAAAAAGGCAGCTTCATTATGGATTTTAGACGGAACATGATTATTTATAAACACAAGAAATAATTGTGATGAAATAAAGAGAAGTGCGTCTTCAGCGGCATACTTTTTTTCGCAACTTATGGGCTTTCTATTGCTTTGAAGTCGAATCGAAAAAGAAAAAGGATTTAAAGAAAGAAAGAAAAATGGTTAAAAGAAAATGACTATAACGAAAGAAAGAAAAAACGTAAGAGAGAAATAAAAAGAAAGATAAAATGAAGGAAATTAAGGATCGAATGAAAGAATATTCGAAAATTATTAAAAAGAAAGAAAGCAAATTTTATAAAGAAATGAAATGATTTTACAAAAAAAAAAAAAGATTAAATAGAAAGGAAGAAAAAAGAAAGAAAATTGAAATTAAAATAATTTAAAATAAGGAAAGGAGAGAACATAAAACCAAATAAAAAACTGATTGAATAGAATGAAAATTTTTAAAAACAAAAGAGAAAGATACGAATAAAAGAAAATATTTAAAACGAAAGTTTAATTGATGGATTTGTTTTATTACGGATTATCAACCCTTTTTCTTCAAATTCATTCATAACTTTGCATTCAAATTGTTACAATGATCTTTTCTTCAGCTTTCACTTTTGTGTCATGAACTTAGTATGGTCTCTCATTCTGCATATCTCCCTGTTTTACTTTCTTTACTTTTTCTCGATTTCTTTTCTTTCCTTTTACACACACACAAGCCAAACGATTGTGGCTAGTTTATTTTTGATTTGATAATTAGTAAGTGTCATACATTCTTTGGTTTAATTAACTCCTAAGGAAATAATGAAACTATTTATATATGTTTAAAGCCGAAACATTTGAATTGTAAGATTTAATATTTTGAATTGGAAGATTAATATTTTTTTCGAGTGAATATTCCATTAATGGCAACCCATTTTTTTTTTTTTTTGAGAACGACAATAATTTTTCCAGATACAAGTCTTTCTAGTTAACCCATGGCTGGGGGCGGGAGTTGAGAAGGGTATTTCCCAAGGGTATTTGCGATGTAGTAAATGTAACAAACTCGACTCTTTTCTCTTTCAGAACTATTATCGATTACATCAACAGCACATCCTTAATACAAAGGGAAATGGTTTTTAAGAAAAGAAATGGATGAAAGGAAAAGTAAATGATTAAAACTATGTAAAGAAAGACAATTAGAAAAAGAGAAAGAAAAAAAAAGAAAGAAAAAAGAAGAGCAATTAAAAACGTATTAAAATAATAGTCAAGTAATAAAAAGGATTAAAAAAAAAAGAATTACTTTCGGATTTAGTAAAGCATCCACTCCCACAAGTTGCATGGACTTGAAACTCTTAATTCATCCTTAACAAATGAATTAATAAATATATATAAGCATTTATTAACGTAAACCAAGTTTGGAACAAGGCCACATATACAGGGCACTTAGGAGGGTTTTGAACTAATTAAATGATTTGTTGAACTAATTTTGTGACCATTATTCCATATACGAGAGTTTGCTGAAAAGTTCTCTTCCCTAAAATAGCTAACCAATATCTCTCTCTCTCTCTCTCTCTATCTATCTATCTATCTATCTATCTATCTATCTATATGGGAGGTGTTTCTGCCGCACCTTATATATATATATATATATATATATATATATATATATATATATATATATATATATTTGAGATGCTATTACTCCAAATTTCGTCAAATTTAAAACGGTTGATCATAATTCCAAGCATTTTCCGTGTCTCGCCTGAAATTTTACCCTTGAAATCACCTAACCAGGAAATATAGGATATAGTTTTCTATTTTTATTTTCATGAAATTTTTTGGCAGCATGAGTGTAGGTGTTATGCAAACAAACATCTCGTTTTGGTGCACACACGTGTACCAAGATTGTTGGCATAACGGCAAGATTAAGTCACCCTCGTAATTAAAACGTAATAAACAACAAATAATTTTTTTATGTTTTAGGTTACCTGATGGATCGCTTTTTTGGATCATTGATGGGCTCATTCACACCGATCGTCACCTTTGATTGAGTGGGAACTGGTGTCGCAAACCAAGTTCGATTCAAACGACTCGATTTTCTGAATCTTTGTCCATAACTCCATTTCTTTAAAAAAAAACAAAAAACAACCGCACATAACAAATTCTTATCTTAAAATTTACACACTTTTTAAAATATAACAACTATATAACGAAGGCAGTTATTAACGCCAAATTTAAGATAAATTCTTGTATTTTCGATATTTATCATTAGGCTCGGCTTAGTTTTGGACTAGACTGGTGCTCACAGTTAGGACCGAACCCATTACAGCAGTGAATGATTTGTTAAGCCTCATTGGGGACCCCGGGAAATGCTTTGTGAAGCACTCTATCTTATCAACTTTTGTTTTTTTTGTTTGTTTTTTTCTACTTACATTTATATCCGTTACAAATTAAACTAAACACAACTGTCTATTAAAGGATGAACAATTTTCGCGGATTTTGACTGCATTTCTGGGGTCCTTTTTTTTTTGTCCAAATCCGTAAGTTTTCTAAATCTGAGAAAAAACACTAAATAAAAATTCACAATTTTTTTTTATCCATAATTTTGAATGTGTTAAAAATTCTTCAACTTTTTAACAAGAACAATCGCATGCTGATGTTGAAAAATGCCGCAAAACATTGCTGATTTATTTAAGATGAAATGAACTATTATGATATGATTTTTCGAGTTGAATTCTTCACTTATATTGCATATGATCCATTATTGTACATAATTAAGTTACAATAAAATATTTTATATATTTTATATGGATACTACCTGGGTGGGTGGGGGAAGTAATATAGGCTCGGGGTGGGGGCATATCATAGATTTGGGGTGGGGGCGTATCATAGTTTCTGGAGAAGCACGAAACCTTGGACCGGCCCTGCATATCGGTATCAAAGCTGGCATCCAATGATTATATTTTGAAAACTCTAAAGTAGAAAATGGCAAAAAGAGTTCAGACAAGAAATTTCATTTTACACGGGACAAAAGATTAAAGACGTTCATAACCTAAGTTAAAATAAGTGAAAATTTGACTTAACTTGCCAACAGTGTGTGTATGTGTGTGTGTGTGTGTGTGTGTGTGTGTGTTTTTGTGTGTGTGTTTGTTTGTGTGTGTGTTTGTGTGTGTGTGTTTGTGCGTGTGTGTTTGTTTATGTGTGTGTGTTTGTGTCTGTGTGTGTCTTTGTGTGTGTTTGTTTGTTTGTGTGTGTTTGTTTGTGTGTGTGTATGTTTGTGTGTGTGTGTTTGTTTGTGTGTGTGTTTGTGTGTGTGTTTGTGTGTGTGTGTGTTTGTTTGTGTGTGTGTGTGTGTGTGTGTGTTTAAGCCCGCGTGCATGTGTACGGTATCTGTTACGTTTGCAAAGACAGAGAGGAAGCGAATTCGGTATATTCCTTATTGTCAGACGTCCACCTTGAATTTCCCCGCAATGCCGAGCCTTATCATTGTCGTGTCAATCTCACTTACTGCGGGGTTCCCATGTTCAACAATTCTTTCTGTGCACAATAAAAGAAAGAAAGAAAGAAAGAACGAAAAGAGGGAGAGAGTGTGTGTGTGAGAGAAGGAAAGTGAAAAAGAGAAAGAAAGTTCGTGCTTGTGAGTGTGAAAATAGAAAGAAAGAAAGAAAGAAAGAATGACTTTCGATCTATGTAACGTACACACCATAAGCTGGAGCGGACGCTGTGTCCGTGTGTGCGAAACGCCAAATCTTTCATTTCTAAAAAAAAAAAAAAGAAAAAGAAAAAAGTTTCACCATTCCAAGCCGATTGCGAAACAAAAGACACCAGTGTCAACACCCAACTCCTCACCCACCTAACCACCCAATAAAACACTTGGAGCAAGGGTGTAATTATATATGTGCAAAATTATGCGGGACAATGAGAAGCTAAAGAGAAGCGGAACTTAGAAGGATGGTCCCTTCTAACACCCACGCTTTCCAGGTTGCCTCTAATGCCACTGACCATTGCTCTAACGGTTCTTATCCTGGGGTGGGGGTTAAATTTCGGTGACAATTTGAAGTTAAAACTTTTTCACTTTCGAACTGTAACTTAGGAAAGTATTTTGCTGCCCACGTGTGCAAATCCCAGCAAAATTGATCAGGGTGCTAATGAAATAATGCGTAATATCACAGGAGAGATTTCTGCTCATATCTATCTATCTATCTATCTATCTATCTATCTATCTATCTATCATCTATCTTTCTTTCTTTCTTTCTTTCTTTCTTTCTTTCTATCTATCTATTATACCTAAACATGCATATCTATCTATCTATCTATCTATCTATCTATCTATCTATCTATCTATCTATCTATCTATCTATAAGCATGCATGTCTATCTCTCTCTCTATTTATATATATATATATAATTTATATATATATATAAGTTTATTCATATCTATCTATCTATCTATCTATCTATAAGCATGCATGTCTATCTCTCTCTCTCTATTTATTTATTATATAAATATATATATATATATATATATATATATATATGTTTATTCATATCTATCTCTATCTATCTATCTATCTATAAGCATGCATGTCTATCTCTCTCTATATTTATATATATATAAAAATAATTTATATATATATATATAAGTTTATTCATATCTATCTATCTATCTATCTATCTATCTATCTATCTATCTAAATATGCATCTCTCTCTCTATCTATCTATTTATCTATCATTCTCTGTATGTGTGTGTATGTGTGCGTCTCTCAACCTCAGACGAAACTTTAATAAAAGTGAAATGTATTAGATACGTTTCCTACATGTCCATATTTGATGTTTAACTCATATATATATATATATATATATATATATATATATATATATATATATATATATATATATATCAGCTTTTTCATATCTATCTCTTATACACACACACACACACACACATATATATATATATATATATATATATATATATATATATATATATATATATATATTCCAGTCTATCTCCAAACTCTACAACTAATTTATTAATCATATATCTTCTCGCATATCTTTTTTGCCTGGAAAAACTCACAAAAAAAGAATAAGATTAAAGTCCAGTAAATCCAACAAATTAGATTAATTTATTTATCATCGTTATCATCACCACCACTACTAGCAGCAATAACAATATTTTCTTTCCTTTTTTCAACAAATTGGCAGTTTCAAAAAAAGTGATTCAGCATTTCTTTTTTATATATATATATATATATATATATATATATATATATATATATATATATAATTATATTTTATGAATTTTTCTATTTCGTGTCTCCCATTCTAATATGACAACATGACCATTCACTCTTCTAATTCTATCTGAATCTTTTTCTTCTTTCTTGCAATTCTTCTTGACTCGTGCTTTGACAGCCACCGTTAAGCCTTTTATCTCGATTATGATTCATCAAAAAATCTTTACATTCATTTTTTCCCGTTCAGTAACATTATATAAACAATTGATGCTTGTTCAAACATTTTAGATTCCAATAAGCAACAGTTGGAAAATTTCCGATAGGAATTCGTGGACTTGGGACTAAGAATGGAAAACGGCTTTAGTCTTTAACTCTTATCAGCTGTCAATCTTCAACAGCTCCAAGTAAGGACAATAACAATAAAAACAATTGGGGAAAAGAAACAAACTGGAGCTGAATGAATAGACAACTATATGAAACATAAGAGTAGCAGTTGTATCCATCATTATTGGCGATCTTAGGGTATTTCCGAAAAGAAAAGCCTTGTGAAAAAAAATTGGAAGATCTGGAAACCATCCAAACACTAGCACTAATAAAAACAGCCAGCATGCTGGAAAGAGTGCTGCAGGGCGGGAGAGACTTGCTGTCGCTTGATCTCCAGGGAAAGTCACCGGTTACTACGCGTGTGAAAACAAAACTCAAAGAGTACAAATAATAATAATAATAATAGTAATAATAGGAGGAGGAGGAGGAGTAGGGGGAGACTGAGGAAAAGGTAGGAACCTTAAGAAGACTTACTGTCACGTGATGTCTAGAGAAAGCCACCAGATATTACCAGTCTGAAACCTTTATGGGAATCACAACCACCACCATCACTATCACCACCACAACAACAACAACCACAGAAGAGTCCCAAATCCGCTCCACATCGTCATTTTTTCAAGTTGTAGGTAGGAGGACTCATCATAATTTCCGTTTGAAAATCATGGTAGCAGTAGTAGTAGAAGTAAAAGTAGTTGTATTACTTATCAAGTGTTTTGTTACAGAAAAATAAAGAGGGAGAGAAAGAGAGTAACAAATGGAGGTGGGGTGATATCATGGGGAGGAGCTACGGAGATGCACTTGGTGTATGTTTTATTTTACTTTTGCATACATGAGTGTACGGTGGACGAATGTTGAGTGTGTGGACGTGGGGGGGTCCTAGTGGGGTATTTTTTTATTATAAATAGCCTCAACTTTCGAACACTGGCTAGTTGAGTCTCCTGCTTTTTAAAAAGTGTACAATACAATTTTTTCTCTCCTGAACAAAATGTGTCAACCGAAAATAATGCTTGTAAGTTTTTAATTTCTTACTTTTTAGCTTTGTACACTAAAATATCTGTTTCTTTGTCTCTGCTTTACATTCTTTTTAATTTTTTTTTATTTATTTACTTATTTTTCATTCATTCATAAATTGTCTGTCGAAAAAACTTGTTTGACTACGCCAGTCAAATCTTTCCGTATTATTGTGGAACTTTTTTTTTGTGACTGGAATTTTTGAAGGATTTCTCGCTTCCTGTGAGCAGTTATTTAGTTTGACAACCCCCCCCCCAAAAAAAATCAAGAAGCTTTTTTTTTTTTTTTTCATGTACGGTCATTGTTGACTTTTGCGGAGACAGATAGAAAATCGATCACAAAGTTCGATCATTCGTTGAATTGATTTTATTTGTTTACTTATTTTGTGGATTCTTTGTAAACGTTATCCTCACTCAAAAAACTGTCTGATCTTTACTTACCTCGTCCTCTAATCCAAAACAAGTGTCTGCTGCATTTTATAATATTTACTAAAAGTTACAAACAATTTTTCTGTTGAATGGCAATGATAAACTGACTTTTCACACACACACACACTAAAAAGTACATGAAGTGTACTTTCTGGGATACTAAACCTTTCTTTCTTGCATTTGCAAAGCGAGATGTTACCAAAAATGACACTTTATTCGGAAATATTCTAACAGAAGCTGTTGCAATGTTTTTTTTGTTTTTTTTTTTTTCAAAGGAATTTTAAAAGTTTTTATGTAAATATTTTTCGCTAATTTCTTTTTTTTTATACAATGTTATCTGTGATGAAAGAAGTATTCATAATTTAAACATAGAATCACATTATTAGAGCTTAATTAACGCTGTCAGAAAATTAAAAAAAAACAAGCCAACAATATCTCACAAGTTTTTTTTTTTTAATTTTATTTTATTAATTAAAATATTTCGTAAAACAATTCATACTTCTACGAAAAATTTATATTGCTTTGATCGAAATGATTTTAAAATTAACCCTGAAAATGTTTCTTGTGATACGATAAAATAAAAAAATTATTTCATTAAAAATATTTACATTCTATTTATTTAAAATTAAAATAGAATATATTCGATAAAAATGTTTACTTTTGTTCTTATGTATTTGGAAATGTAACGAAAAATTAAAATTTAATTCATTCAAAAATAATGTTTAGAATAAAAAGTTGTGTAGTAAAACAGTTGACTAGACATAAAGTTGTGTAAAACAGTTTACTCGACATAAAGTGATTTTGTTAAATAATTATTTACTAAGTAGCTCAGGACAGCACAAAGTTACAAGTAGGGCACCTAGTCAGGACCGAACTCACTCGTAATCGACCTGCGAGGTCATCTTACTAATCAGTACTTTTTTTATCATTATACTTAGACGAGATACCTGTGTTTTTAATAGTTTAGAACAGGGATTAGGAGAGATAGTAAAAAAATAAAACAAACACTGATAAGACTTACAAAAGGCAGAAAATTGTGGAGAGCCATGACTGTCCACATCCTGAAGAGACACGGCACATAGAAGTAAATATTCAAACAATGCCAGTAAATTTAAATCTTATTTACAAACAGTCGGACTCAACTTTGTTTCAATCAAACAGAAATCTAAATCTATTTTTCACAAATATTCACAGGTTTAAGATAATTCATACATAATTTCTATACTATATGCATTTACTTCCTTAATGTCTTAGCTTTTAGAGGAAAATTGAACAAGTTACAAATAATTTTTTACCAAAGGCAGAATATAACAGTGAAAAAATCGACAAATGATTTTGGGAGTGGTCTATCTTTCCCTCTGCCCACCCCCGTCTCTCTCTCTGTTGTATATTCTAAAACCTCTGTTTTACACAGAGTAAAACTTATACAATAAGATTTCAGTCGCTACCGGTTTGTCTTTTTCATAAATTTTTTTAAGAAAAAAAAAAAAAAAAAAAAAAAAACAGTTTAATTTTCTTTCTTTCTTTCAACCATCGAGATAGAGAGGGACAAAAAGGTTAGTTTATGGTTTTCCTTCGAAGAAAAATGATGGGGGAGGAGAGGATATTTTTACCACGTGGTTGTCTACATTGTTTTCGTATCATGTACACACTGAAGACAATTTGAATCTTACCGACAACTCTGTCAAGTCCCTATTTTTTTTTTTTTTTTTTTTTTTAAATCTTATTATCTCACTTAAAGGTTTGTATTCTTTTCTCTTCAAAAAGTAAATCGATGTTTTTTGATAGTTTAATATTTGTTTATTTACACACAAAAAAAAAGATTTTGTAGAGAAAATAAACTAAAGACTACAGCAAATGAAATGTTTTGGCAAACCTGCGCTTTTGATTCAGCTGAGCTCGTCAGAGAATCGAATTTCGTGGACTTTTCAGCTATTTATATTTCGTTCATTTCATTGGTTGTTTCAGTGAAACGTCATCAACGCATTCAAGGAAGAAACCGGTGTAAATGCTAAAAATACGCTCGCTTTCTTGCCGTGTGTGGGTGTGCTTGATTTAGCTTATGTGAATGTTACATTTTAAATTCTTCTGTCTTGTTGTGTTTAATATAAATAAATATAATATCTAAAGAAAAGCTAAAGAAACTAGTCGTGTATAATTTACTTAATTATCAACAATAAGAAAAATTAAGTTAACTCTTCACTTTAAAACAATTTGTTAGGGAACAAACATATTAATTTTTGTTTTTGTTAATATTTAAAAATTTGTAACTAATTTTGACAAGTATCATGATCTTACTAAAAAAATCTTTGTTGAAGCTTAAATCATTTTTCAAGTTTATAATCGTTTAATAATCGTGGGTGTTGACACAGTTAACAAAATATATCAAATAAACGACACACACACACACACACACACACACACGCGCACGCACGCACTCACACAAAAACAAAAAACACACATAAAATCTCCGGAAAAAAAAAAAATTACAGCACAAAACAAAACAGCCTAGGTACAAAAATCCGTCTATATACAAAAAATAAATGCTTTATTTTTTTTATGAACTTAACATAGGAATATATATATATATATATATATATATATATATATATATATATATATATATATATATATATATATATATATATACAGATTTGTTTTTTAATCAAATTTGTTTGGAAGAATACTTGCTGTCTAAATATACCGACATGTATATGAGAAGGTAACTCTGAATTTAAAACCGGACTGGAGAGGGTTGGGCTCAGTCAAAAAACACCGCTTATACTGCGGCTGCAGTATATGTGGTGCCCCTACGACCGTGATGGGTCACAGGATTCGCGACATATATATATATATATATATATATATATATATCGTGTGTGTTTGTACAAGCAATCAGAAGTGATTTCGCATTTACACAAAATGTAAATCCTTTGCAGGTTTTGAGAGTCATTATAATTCACTCAATTTAGGTCACTTGTATACATTTCATGAATATTATTTATTTTATTCAAACCTTTTACGCTCTAAGATAATAATATATATTTGTTTTCAACCTACATTTGTACGTAGCCATTTCTTTTGTACATAATTTTAATCAAATATAAGCATTTTTGTAATGTACATATACGATTAAATGTAAAAGTAGTGCAACAGTGTAAATTGTCAATGCAATAGTTGTCTTAAGTTATATATTAATGTGTTAGAATTAGTCATACTCAACTAATATTATATATATATATTGTGTGTGTGTGTACGTTTTATTTTTTTTAGTTTGATATTGTAATCTTTAGCCAACTACTCTGTGTAGGATGAAATGCACAAACAAGCGTACAGTTAGAAATTCTGTATACGTGTTCGTTCTTGTAAGTATACAAAAGGAAACTCACTTTGTCATCAGCGGGTTTTTCTTATTTTAGTGAAATTATTTTGGAATTCTCAGCACTTTTTATACATATTGGATGAGTTATTATAATTCCAAGAGTTGCCCGAATTTATTATTATTATTATTATTTTCTTTTACATTTCGACCGATACATTCTTCGGACTTCTTCTTGTATGAAAGATTCTATTTTTTTTTTAATTTCATATGAGTCATCACAACTCTATTATCATTACTACTGATTACATTATCTTTTTTGTTATCGTCACACCATTTTGACAGTTCCATTCTACAGCCTTTTTAATATTTGCAATTCGTATGGAAAGGGGGCGTTGTCAGATACCTGTTGCTATTAGATTTGGCATAATTTTAATTAGTTTCTTTACAAAAATTTGTATTTTTATTTTTTCTTATCTACCAATTTCTGGTTTTTACTTTTCTGGGATATAAGAGGTCACCGTTTTCCAAACATATACATATCTATATCTGAAGAAGGTCGTAGCATGGATCGGCTGAAACGTGATAACAAAACAACTACTATTGATTTTTTTTTTCCACAACTGTATATTATACGGTGTGCTCAGTCTGCTTGTTGTCTGAGATAGTTGCATTTCCAGCACTATGTCTGACCTCAAACTAAGGCCATTATTTCGATGCTGATTTTCAAAGCAGTCAAAACTTTCTTGGTTGGAAATTTGGCACAACGCAATTTTTTTTTTCTCTCTCTCTCTCTCTATTTGTCTTTGTTCCAGAGGCTAAGCCTATTAAGTATCTAAGTGCATTGGTATAATAACTTCGGTACAAGGCCATGAGGACGTCTTTAAAACGTTGCATGAGTATTATTGGTTTCTCACGCATTTCATTTCGAAGAACAATACCATTTGTTGCTATACAAACAAACGAAAGTAGATATTCATCCGAAAGCCAATCGCCGAAAATAAAACCAAGTCCTCAATATCTACATCCAGGGGCATGTAATCTGCTTTTTACATCCGAAGGCAGATTGGAATATCAAAAGAAACATTCCAGAAGCTAAGCAAAGTATTAAAAAACAAAACTTTTCATTCGAAACGAAGAAAAGAGTGCCATGTAATATCTGTCCTCCTATATAGAAGTAAATTCTGGACATCTTCCTCACAAATGAAGAGATTTGAGGCAACATAGGTATGCTTCTACACAAGGATGCCG